ACAACTCCGTGCCCTCCTTCGTAGTCCACTCCTGTTGTAGGGTGAATCTCCGCATAGATTGTGTTTCAAACTTTGAATCTAAGCCGTCAAATTGGTTGTACGAAAATTGCGAATGTCGCTTGATTGCATGTCATTTCACATTTTCGCAAATATTCAAAGCTTGAAAAAAGTTCAACTAGAAAGTTTGAATATTCGAGTTCTGTTTCGATGAACGGACGGTTCCCTATCGGAAACGGACCCGTCCATTTATCGAACGTTCGTTTCTAAGAGCGTGTAACTTTTTGCATTTTGTAATTTTGACGTACCGTCCGATTATATGGAAACGTACGGTACGTTTGTATCGAAACGGACCGTCCGTTTGAATGTTTGCAACTTCGGACGGTACGAATGCATTTGTGACACTTTTTCCACATGCTAGGGTGCCGCGATGGTATTCGTTTCGCCACCTCAAATGTACACTAGTAACGCCAGTCACAACCCGTCGCAATTTTCGCCTCTTGAGTTCAGCGCTCCGGACATACAATTGAAAATTGCAATCATGCACAACGGCCGTCGACACCAACCTCTTCGCAGTCGAAGGGTCACCAAAACCCTCTAGTTATATCAGAGACATCTCTCTGCACCAGAATATGTCGCGCCGCCACCTACTATCCGTACTACACCTCTTGTATAGAGGGTACCAACAGTTCATTGTCGGACCAGGGGTCGACTACATAGCTGAGATAATCCTACTGCTCGATGACGAGGACCGCACCATCATGCAACGGGACCGTGAGAGTCAGAGGGAGAGGTGGGATTTTCTCCTTGGTGGAATGCCTCGTCGGCTTTTCTTAGAGACTTTCCGCGTTAACCGTGCTGTTTTTGACTACTTGGTAGACGCTTTGCACAGTAGGATCTGTGACCGCCAGCGAGTGATACCTGTACAATCGTGCGTCGCAATGACGCTAGTATATCTAGGCACAGGCGCAACATTCCGCCAGCTCGGTTTGCAGTTTGGGGTCGTGCCGCAACATGCGCAGAGGATTGTGCAGGGCTTTATGGCGTTCATAGTGGACGAACTACTCCCTCTCTGGGTTTATCACCCTTCCGCCGAGCAGATGGCAGCGAGCGCCGAAGAGTTCCGGTACGAGGGCGGTATTCCGGGTGTCATAGGAGCTCTAGACGGGACCTATATCAAGTGCCGTGGCTTCGGGAGAGACAAGGAGGATTTCAAAAACAGGAAGGGTTTTTACTCTATTATCCTACAGATAGCTTGTGACTCTAACGGACTCACATGGGACTACAATGCGGGATACCCCGGAAGCGTCAACGACTCCCGGGTGTTTACTAACTCCCCGCTCAAACAGCGCTTAGAGGCTGGCGAGTTGGGGAACTACATGTTAGTCACGGACGCGGCTTACGCCCTCACAAGCTACACTTGTGTGCCTTGGCGCGCAACTCCCGGACGGTCTCTGCCACGTGCAAAAGACAAGTGGAATACACAACAGTCGCGTCAGCGTATGATAGTCGAACAAGTCAACGGGCGGCTTAAAGGCAAGTGGCGCATACTCGACAGCCGTATGGAGTGCCACAGTGAAAGGGTGCCGCAGGTGGTGAGTGCCTGTGTGGCACTTCATAACATCGAACTGACGATAGGCAGGAGAGATCGCCTGGGCACACCGCCGGAGCGCTACCGATGGTGGCTCGAGGGGCCCGCGGCTAATCTTCGACTTACCGGCCCTGAGGTGCGCGGTTTCACGCCTCGTCTTCGGATGAAGAGGTGGACTGCGGCGATCTACGCCTCCTACTGCGCCGCTCATCCGCGTACCCGCGAAACACCTCCCGGGTTAGTGATTTGAATTCCTCCCACTTCGCATCCTGCCGTTTGTCGAAATGCTCCCGCAGTTCCCCTATCATATCTGCTGTGCTTGACGGCTTCTTCGTGTCGACAGCTTTGCGGCCAACACCGCGTTTTGCGGCATTCTTCTTTTTGCCGTCATTGTCGCCGTCTTGCTTGCGTGGGTACTGCCACCACGCATTCTTTGAACTCCCCTCCCCGCCATCAGACGTAGGGCGCGCTCCCCAGGTGATGCGCCGACCGCGGATAGAGATACCCGTCGTCGAACCTGACGGAACCGTTGCGCCGCTTGGGGAGCCGCCGTTGCTCGGAGCGATCGTGTCTGGCGAGAGTGGAGTGTCGGGGGAGGGACGAGACGGAGCGACGGCGCCGGCTTCACGACTGGGAAAGGCTGGCTCGGTAATGCGGCTGATGGCGGGGGACGGCGTGGGTACGACGGGTGGGATAAATGGCGAGACGGGAGCGGGAGGGCGGGGAGCGGTGAAGCGCCGTGCGGCAGGAGTCTGCGAAGGGCTTGTACTCGGCGACTGAGGCGTAGCCACCGTCGGTGTGGCGCGGGTGTTGTTGGCGGCCGGGGGAGCTGGAGGCGCCGTCGCCATGCGGGCGGGAGCGATGCCGGTACCTGCAAGGACAGGGGGTATGGTGCTTGGGCGCTCACCCCAGAGACGCTCGGCCAGATGGTACCAAGGCGGCAGGTTTCTATGGCGTCCCTCCCCAGATCGCCGTATACGGTCGTTGATGCGACGCCACTCCGCCTTCAGGCGGTTGAACTTCGCCTTGAGTGCCCCCTGGTCATGCCGCCACGTCGGGTTGCGCTCAAGGATATCACGCTGGACAAACGGGTACCAGGACCTCCCCTGCTGCCCGGTGCGTGCGCGGATCTGCGAGTCGAGATCGATGAACGTCGCCAGCACCTCGCACTCTTCCTCGGCGGTCCAGCGTGGCGAGTTTCTGGCAGTGGAGTGGCGAGAAGCAGCGGCAGTGGTGGTACTTGGCTCTGTTTGTTGCATGGTGGGTTCCTCTTCAACCTCTCCTGGCGCGCCGTTGTCATCAAATGTGGCACCGAGTCCGTAGTCTTCGTCGGCTTCGTAGGAGGCTGAAGGGGAGGGGATTTGATAAACCCAGTAGTTGGAAGGGGTGACGGAGGGAGTGGTAGAAGGAGCTGTCGGCGTGTTGGTCCGATCCAGTATCTGGGACTCTTGTGTTTCGGGAGCAGCTATGACAGGAGTGGTAGTAGTGGTAGATCTCGGTGGATGGGAGTTGAGAATGGTGTTGTCAGACTGGGTGTGTGGCGTGGGGTGGCGAGAGGGATCCATTGTGCAGTGTAGTGAGTTGTGAGTCAATGTCGTGGCTTCAAGTATTGTAATTAGGCTAGTTGTGGTTGGACAATGTCATTTTTGGAATCCGAGCCGAATGCTCAAATGTTTTAGCGACGCGGTCCGCTGAAAACCAAATTCGCCCGCCAATCGCGTGCGCGGACAAGCGGACAGTCCGTTTGTGTTTCGTACCGTCCGTTGTCAGTGTTTCGTGTCGCTGGAAAGTGGAAAAAGTGTCATGACGGTTCGTTCTGGTAGCGACGTCGCAGACATCCAGGCGAAAAATTGCACGACATTAAACGATTATGGTAACCCTTCGCATCGACGTACGGTCCACGGTTCGTTCCGTCGGGTTAAAAAAAGTTACACACTCTAAGAACCAAAATGGTTACGCGCCCCAATCCCGCACTGCGCGTGTTATTCTGGCGGATTATAATCGAGAACGGTCGGGTATTGTACGCGTTACGCAAGTATGCGGTAAGGTATCCGGAGAACAGTTTCCAATTTTGGAATCGTGTCTCCACTAGGAGGGCACGCGGCAAGCAAGCGCATACTGGTTGTCCATTCGAGCCAGACTCCAGAATTCTTTCGAGTCGACCGACAACAAGCGTCGGCGGTGTATTTGTAACAGTTCTTGCTCACCCATCCGAAATTCATGTGGGTGTTGTTTGAGAAAACTACATTTTACCTTGTTTGTTTGTTTCTGATTTGTTTTGACAGCGCATCGCTTTGCGATCCCACTCAGTTCTTTGAGTCATATTGTTTTGCCATTTCCCTTTTTCTAGTCCAAAATTTATACTGGCTCTGTTTGACAGGATATATAAAATTAATTCGTCGCGTCCATCGCAAAAACACAGCTCGGGACAAAAAAATATATATACCCTCCTGGAAGGCATGCCACGTAAAAGGCATCAACCCTAAACACCATAAGGCAAGGTGTTTGGGTTTGATGCCTCCCAGATGGCTTCTCATCCGCGGGTTTTAGTTTTGTGACTGCCCGTGGGATTCGGACGCGATCGCGGAGCGGGTTGCTGTCAAAACCACTGCCCATTGGAATTGGAAACAAGAATGCACCGCGGTCCGTCATTTCCTCGTGTTGCTTTGCTCGCTCATTCTTCATCCTCTCCAGCTCAGGCATGCTCCTCCCACAGCTCTCCCACCCAAGCTCATGGATCCAGGCCGGGCCAGCCAGAACAACCACCCGAATCGCAGGACTAGAAACAGTACATTGGACAAAGCAACATGACAACCACCCGCGGTTCGAAGAATCAACCTCCCCTTCGGGAAGGCTTCCCGAACCATGCCCCGGCACATTTGAATTTGCTCCTCACTGGCTTGACCAAGAAAATGTTTTGATAATCGAGATTCAAGAATTTGCCAGCATCATACCTCAATACAGTGCGAATTATTATCTGTCTAGATGATCGATTCTGGAAAGAATGATGAGCTTTTATTAGAACAACAGAATCAGGAAAAGAAGGGTAACGTTCGGGAACAAACAGAAACGGCCCCTGCTCGAAATACTTCGCACATCTCATCATGCAATACAACCATCCCATCGCTTGTAAGGCCTTGCTTGTGTGCGCCTTTCGCTGCCCAGCCCAACCCCTGCTCAGCCTTCCTTGCAGGAGCTGGGTCTTCCAAATCACACGCATTCAAGGTGTTTGCTTTGTTTCCCTCCCATCATTCATATTCCTCCACGCCACCCGCTGAACCACGTCCCATGTGGTTCCATGCGCTCTCTAACACCTCCCCGTACGCGGCGCCGCGCTAACTATGGGGTGTCCCGCGAAACCAAATCCACCGTAACCGTTCCGTCACCAGCGCTTCTTCGAGCAGCTCCTGCCATGTCCCCGCATCTCCCCGCGCTCGTCGCTACGCTGTTCCTTGTAAGCTTGATCCATGGGCCCGCACTATCCGCCGCGCAGCCCGCGTACTCCGCCGTGGGAGTTCCCACGGCTATCGTAGCGGGCGGCGTGTACAACCCGTTAACGGGCGACGTGTACAACCAGGCATGGCAGATTAACTCGCTGACGCAGCGCGAGACGGGGTACTCGTCGAATCCCGACGCGAACAACAACGCGGAGCTCACCTCGTGCGCGGTCTCGACGGACGGTAATGCCTTCACGTCGTCAGGCGACAAGTACGTCAACATGATTAAGTACACCACCAGCGGGCCGGTAGCTCTGCCGGCGCTGCCGCTCAATATCAACGTCACGACCGTCGCCCTGGGAGGACCGTCGGAGCGGCTTCTCGTCGCGGCGGACGGGACCGTTGCCGCTGGCGGCGCCGTCGGGATTCGGCGCGACACGCTGCAGTCAACGGTGCTGGTTGCGCCCGGGTGGCAGTGCATGTCGGCTAGCTTCTGCTCGTCATTCGTGCTGCTGGCGTGCCACGATATCGCAAGCGACGCGAACGTGCTCGTCACCGTCCCGTTCGACGCCGCTACTGGCGTCTTCCAGACCGCCGCCAAGGCTTCTTTCGCTATTCCGTTCCCGCCGGCTCAGGCGGCGTGTTCCCCGAACGGCGGATTCGTGGCCGTGCTGCGCATAGACGCGAAGACCGTGTTCACGTACAAGCTGCCGCTTGTCGCGCCGCTCACTGCGCTCTCCACGTCGCAACTAACCCCCGGAATGCCCGGCTCCATGGCCTTCGACGCTACCAATAGCGAGATTCTTGTAACGAGCGCCGCGGACTTTCCGGGCCTGCCGGGCGACGCTTACCTCGGCACGCTCGACACTGTCGGGTACACCGAAACGGGAGGCGCGGAACCCGCGGCGCGGATCGGCGCGTTCCAGTACACCACCGCGTCGCCTGTGGGTGGCCAGGTGGCAGTCTACCCGAAGCCGACGGTTGGTTACGTGGCGTTGCCCGAGGGGCTGTACGTGGTGCGGCTCGTGGAGGACGGCGCGCTCGACTACGGCTCCGCGCTCTTCGCCACGCTTGGCGCCGTGCAGGACGGATGGAGCTACTTCGCCACCGCCGTCTGCGCGCAGCGATTCGTCGCCGCTCCCCCGCCCCCCAGCCCGCCTCCTCCTCCCCCCAGCCCTCCACCCAAGCCCCCGAGCCCTCCGCCGAAGCCCCCTAGCCCTCCGCCCAGGCCCCCCCCTCCCCCGAAGCCTCCGAGCCCTCCGCCGAAGCCCCCTAGCCCTCCGCCCAGACCCCCCCCTCCCCCGAAGCCTCCGAGCCCTCCGCCAAAGCCTCCTAGCCCCCCACCCAAACCTCCCTCTCCGCCTAAGCCGCCGAGCCCTCCTCCGAAGCCCCCTAGCCCCCCGCCCAGACCCCCCCCTCCCCCGAAGCCGCCGAGCCCTCCGCCGAAGCCACCCAGTCCTCCCCCGAGGCCACCTCCTCCCCCGAAACCTCCCAGCCCGCCGCCAAAGCCTCCCAATCCTCCGCCGAAACCGCCCAGCCCGCCACCACTGAAACCGCCCAGCCCGCCTCCGCCGAAGCCGCTGACGAGCACGCTAGCGACGACGGCGTCTGTGCTGTCGGAGTGGGCGGGCGGCGACGCTGGTGTCTTCGCCACCGTCGCCAGCGACGCTGACGCCGCTGTGACGCGACATCCGCCCGCTAGGACCGCGCCGCGCGCGTACTATGGCGTCGCGCAGCCGCCACCAGGTAAGAAAGGTGCAGCGGGCAACTGCAGTAGCGAGGGTAGCGAAGATTGAGTGCGGATGATGAGGACGACCGTGGGTTTGTCCGTATTTCTGAACCGAGGATTCGTTTTGTCCCTGTCGTACCTGCTGCTGCTCGTTCTCGGACAGAGCCGACGTCATGCTACGTGGGCACGAGCGCGCTGTGCGCATTCCAGCTGGACTGCCTGGACTTCGGCGCGAAGAGGGGGTGCACGTGCATGAACGACATCATCCCGCAAGGGCAGTGTAGATGTGAGTCCTTGCTACACCGCACTTGCTACTCTGCGTTTTCTAGCACCTCGTACCTTTCTCTACGCTCTACTCCACTTCCCTGAAGCCAACCACGTGTGACTCTCAGCAGTCTAGACTCTAGACATACCAACCTGTCTTCCACCCTGCTCACCACCCCCGCCACTCTCTTCTATTACAGACGCCAGCGCATGTCTGGACACGACAGCGTGCCCAGTGGAGGCCACGTGCACCACCACACAGAGGGGTCGCACAGTGTGCGCGTGTCCTAGTGGTTACCGGCCTCTGAAGCAGCGCGTGGGTGACACGGCGTTCAGCTACTGCGCTCGCTCGACATGCAAGCGGAGCAATGCCTTCGTTGGCTTCAGCTGTGCTGTGCACGGTGAGAACAACCCTTCCACTTCCAAGCGCCTCCCCTTATTTCAGTCTCAATCGTGCTTGTACAACTCAGGTGATGCCTGTGGAAGAAGGTTATTATTTGATATGGATATCAGGGTGACGATCGTTTTTGTCATGCGGTAAACCAATCCATATTGGAAGAGAGGAAATGTTCACATCATGACCTCTACTATTTTTATTGTCCCATCACATCTGTTACTCACCCTCCCTCCTCCCGTCGCCTTGTTTCATTGTACCACAAATATGCCCGCAATCGCTATGTCTTGATGCAGATGAGGCAGCTGCTGGAATGAGCTTCTTCGGGTAGCAACTGCAGGCTGCAGCATCTGAGAAGCAGTTTTGCAAAGCCATATGCTTTTGTGTATTTCATTTGTTTCACACAATGGGAGGAGTTGGGCCAGAGCGGTGTCTGTTTCGGGATAATATTGTGAGATATTATATCTAAAACACTGATCTGCTTCGCTCCTGTCACTCGTCCATTGTAACTTGGATTCTTGATTTGTCATGGGTGTCTTCGATTGGTGCACGTCTTGGAAAACGGAGCTCCCTCTCCTGTTTTTCTCCTTTTTAAATCGGGGATACCTAGGTTATTGATTAGCCCAAGTTCACCAACTCATTAGTTGGGAAAGTATATCCCAGCTCCTGACTTTCAGATTTCTCTCGTATTTAGCCCTAGGTTTGCTCAAAAGCACCATTTTCTAGAAGTTCTCTCACGCGACGCCCCAAGTATGTTCAAAACTCGTCCTGCGGGGTGAAGTTGTAGAAATTGGTGCCAAAAACTTCTCTCCGCAGGACCAGTTTTGAACATACTTTGGGCCTCGCGTGAGGGAAATTTTAGAAACTGGTGCTTTTGAGTAAACCTAGGGCTAATTATGAGAGAAAACTGAGAGTCAGGAGCTGGGATATACTTTCCCTTAGTTCTTTGCCTATTTGTGAGAAGTAATACGGTATAGCCTAAGCAATACTGATATAGCCTGAGTTTGGCACATAGCATTCACGAAGAGTTTGGGGTGGGTTCAGTTGTGCCTGAAAGGAAAGTGAGCTTCAAGTGTTCGGTACTGTAATTCGTTTTCACCATGGCATGGGCAGAGAAGCATGGATGTAGGTTCGGAGATGGTACAGAACCTTTGACATGCGTGCTCATTCGCTGAAATTCCACGTATCTCGGGATCCTGACACACGACAAGTTAAGAGATGCCTTCTTTCTTCCATCCGGACCGTCCAAGTTGTAGATGATTTAACCTTGCGTCCAGCGTTCGAGGAGCACTCCCAACGTCTGGTTGAGAATCTTTTGGTCGGTTGCAATTTCACCACAGGCCTGCAGGGAAGCGTCGCCTCGGGATAGGTCCGGCTGCGAGGCGTGGTTTCGTCTTGACTTTCAGTCAAGGTCACAAAACCATCCCCTGTGCTCCAGGTGCATCCCCCCAACCCATCCGCCAGCCCCCCCCCCCCCCTCCCATACCCCTAACCTCCCCCCCGCCCCGCCACCTTCCCCTCTTGCCCCTTCCTCCCACAGCGCAAACGGTTTCCTTCATCACACGCACCATGCCCATGCCATACATGTACAGTACAGTACCTTTCCCCCAGCCGCTGCCACTGCCACACCATCCAGGCACTCTACACTCACTCATGGATTCCCAAACCAGTCCTTCATAAATTAGCCTCTATTCCCTAAGTGATTCAATTATTCTTCCGCCGAGTTGGAGTTGGAGGAGCAAAACTTACTAAGCCTCAACCATGATTTTCGGCAACGTAGTCCTTGCTAGGCCCACATGTAGCTCCCTCATTCAGATTGAAAGAGGAGCCGCCTTTGTTCAACTTGCTGGAGCTGTCGATGCTGCCAGGTCGTGCTCTTTCTACTCCAATCAGCTGGCTTTGCTTCTAACCTCGCGTCAACAATCGACACGCCATGTTTCGCGTCGGATCGAGACGAGGGCCAGCCTTGCAGTTAACGAACACACGCTCGTGACAGCACAGAGGAAGGGCAATGACGAGCGGTCAATTGTGCTCGCCGCTCCTCCAAGTGCGTGGTCCTTTCGTTAAGTCGTGAACATGATGTCTCAATTCTGTTTTAAGGTGTCGCTTTCGCCTTGCCATCGGCTCGTAATTGATATGATTCATCATTCTCTGCTGTATAATCACTCCCAGGATCCATTCAAGTGACCTTCACAATGGAGCGACGCTGCGAGTTCGGCGAGCATTACGCCGTGGTGGGGGAGGTCGACGAGCTCCGCCTATGGGATCCTGCTAACGCGGTTGTAGCACAGTGGTCGGACGGCCACCACTGGAAGGTCACCGTTGTAAGTCTCACTACCCTGCCTACCTCCGTAGCGTACTCGTCCTTATTCCATTGCCCAATTCACCGCCCTTATCAAGCCATTAATTTCTCTCTTTTGCCATTGTTCACCTTCACCATTGCTACCCGTGCCCGTCGCATCATCCTGTCGTCAACCAGGAACTCCCGGGTGATCGTTCGATCGAGTTCAAGTTTGTGTTACTCGGGCGACACGGCGAGGTATGGTGGCAGCCGGGTCGCAACCACGTGCTCGTGACGGCGGGCTTGGCGCGCAGCGTGGACGTGTACGTGCCGTGGGACACAGAACAGGCGCTCGTGGTGGTTAACCACCCCGAAAATAGCACCATTGATTGGAGCCTGGACGGCGCTTATGCCGAGTTCAATGCTCAGGAGGGCGATGCGGGGCTAGCTGCGGAAGACGATCTGACCAGCCGCGGCGTCATGCTGAACGGCCACTCCAGTTCCAGCATGGTATTTAACGGCTTTACTGACTCCGGCGTGGAATCCTTCAGCTATGCCGACTATCACATGAAATCCAACGGTTACTCCAACTCTGGCGTGGAATTCAATGGCTACTCCAACTCTAACTTGGAAGTTAACGACTGTTACCATTCTCAGATTGAAGTCAACGGCCAGTCCCATCAAAGCGTGGAATCCACCAGTCTTGCGGCAACCGAGAGCGTCAGCAACGGGAGTGACATCGGAGAATTTGATTCTGTCTTTTCAGCTCAAGATGACCAGTCCGTTCCTTTGGTGGCGAGAAGTGTGAGTGTCGCAAGTGGCGGCGGCGTTCACAGTGGGGCAGCACGTTACGAGCAATCCTTCAAACTAGCTGGCAGCAGCCACTCTGAAGTTGAGGAGGCAGGCTTCATGGAAGAGCAGAGCAAAGCAGCTGCTGAATCCATGGGCTCTAAGTCGTCTGCAAACTCTGCTTCATTTGATACTGCACGAGCTTTCTCGGCAAAGATGGATTCAGGGAGATTCAAGGACGTGGACGATGATGGAGGAGACGCACCGGAGTATGTGCCAGCGTCCAGTAGAGGACGGATGTTCGCTGACATGGCAGGAAGTGTGGAGGCGGCGTACGAGTCAGTCTTCACAGAGCTAAACGAGGACGAGGTGAGTGCCTCTTGAAACATTTTAGATTCTGTCTTCTGCCTGGACCGAGTAGTCCCAGTCTTTTCTCTTACCTCCATTTCTACCTCCGTTGCTTGATGCTGCAGGCCAATTCATCCGTGGTTCCAAGTATGGCACCAACCAATGGTAGCGGTGGCAAGCTTCAGCAGCGCGCCACTGGGAGTCAGGTCAAAACTGCTCGTCAAAGGAGGCAGCGGAAATCAAACAGCAAGTACCTCTCAGGTGAAACACTGCTCATGTCCATGTATGGACACGATATTTTTCAGGTTCCAGATGTTGTGATTCTGCACGCAGGTAAATAATCAAAACCATTTTATCTGTGCGTTTGTTCCTTTGCAGAGCTTTTCTTCAATGATGCTCATGTCCCACTGCGCCGCTGGGCTGGGGAGCTTTATCTAGACAATCCTTCCAGCACTCCCTCAGCCAGCCCTACTCTCAGCTCTACAGCATCACCAACCCCATCTAGTTCCAAGCAAAAGGCAGAAACTTTCATGCCAAGTGCTTCCCATGGCTCCCTCCCTCTCCATCTGGCCACAAGTGCTGGCCCAGCTTCACCACATTTGGCCCCTCAACCCACCAGCGGGTCTTCCTTGACCGCGACCTTGGCACCACCTGCACCCAACCCTTTTGAAGGCCTTGGTGAAGTGGTTGAACGAGGCTTGGGAAGGCTGTTCAATCGCATGCAGCGCGCACGCATGTGGCTGGTGCTCATCCCACTACCAGTTTTATCCACTCCCCTTGCTGCACTTGTTGTGGCCGCACAGCTGTTCCTCCTCTTGACCCTTTGAATGGGAACACTCCTGGAATTTTTACTTCCTTGGTGCATAGCAAACGGTGTATCAATACAGTCAGCTTCGAACAAGTCTTGTGACCATAGTGAACAAGTTGTTTTCACTGGAAAGATTTCTGAGTCTGATTGCAAAAAATGCACTGATTGACTTCAAAGATGTGTGTGTCCACAATACTATCACCATTATATGCCTTTTTTTTCTCAATCCCCATATGATAGCGCTGCATTGCCCAATGTGCCTCAAGGGATGGAGCATAGCATTATGTACACGTGGGGATATCCGATAAATGTTGAATGGAGACCCTCTCTGCCAAACCTGTTTGCTGATGATACATCGTTGGCTAATGAAGGGTTGCGTAGAGTTGCTTCTATTGGTATAAGAAACATATGAAGGAACATTATATATTATACTTATGAAGAAGACATGTTAGAGAAAAGTATCATTATGTACATGTTTGTACGCTTGTCTAGTTACGAAAAGGTAACGATTCGAACGGTGATGATATTTTTTATTGTAATAAATAATTTTTTTTAGCTCCATCTTACTATATTGCACCATCTAATTCCTATAGTTGGTTCATTGTTTTCAGCTGTAATTTGATAATGTGGTGCTGCGTGTGTTTCACGTTACACAGCTTTCAAATTAGTTTCTTGCTCATGTTTCTACATATACACCTAAATGAAATATTGTCCATGCCTAGTTGTTTATTATGCCCTAACAATACAATCACCTTAAAAATGTGAATCGCATCTGCCCCAAACATTACACACTATTCTAACGAGTAACAATTGTATTGTTTCCTTTCACACTTGTCAACTTGAATTTGACGCTTGTCTCTTCTTGGTTCTTGATTTCTGGTTCTTGGTCAGTTCTTGGTTCTTGTTACGAGTGCAATTGAGTGAACGAACGAGAATTGCACTATCGAAGCAAAGAGTTCAATGAGCGAAGGCATGAGCGAAGGATTATATAGCGAAACAATAGTGGTAACGGTAATGGACTGTGGTTGTCGCGCGACGAGCCTGGGGCTGAGGTTGGGAAAGTGTCGAAGCGTAGGCCCGGAGCGCGGGTTACCAGCCGAGCCGTGAGGTTGGGATGCGATGTGCGAAGAGGGCGGGATAATGAATGATACGATGGTCGTGAGTGGTAACGGTGCTGACTGAGGTGCTACAGTGACGTACGCGTTGAGCAGGGACGCGAAGTAAGGAAAAGGGAATTTCCTTACACTACCCCCCTCCCCAAGGAGGCCCCTCTTACGAGAGCGCATGGACGTCGCGGAAATTTCGGCTTCGCAGATACTCGGGGAAGACAGGGTGGTTCTCAATTTTATCCAGGGGGACCCAGTTGTCTTCTGTGGGCGTTCGGTCCTTCCAGCGAATTAGGAACTCTATCCTTCGGGCTCCCCGAGGGTCGCGGACTCGGTGGCTGAGGATTTTTTCAGGGGTGATGAGTGGTTCGGTTGGGGGACGTGTCATGCTGGCTGGTCGATTTCGTGGCAGTTGGCTCGTGGATGGGATGTAAGGGCGAAGTAGGCTGACGTGGAATGACGGGCTGACGTACCAGTCAGCAGGGAGGAGGAGGTGGGCAGTGACGGGTGTGATCATGTGGCTGATGCGGAATGGCCCACAATACCGGGGGCGAAGTTTTGGAGTGATGGGCAGGCGAAGATTCTGAGTGTCGAGTAATACGAGGTCGTCGGGCTGATAAGTAACGGGTCTGCGATGTCGATCGGCGTTACGTTTAGCGATGATGTTTGATTTTTTGATTGCTTCTGCTGCCCTGGTCCGTGCTGCTTGCAGAATCTCGGCGAACTGTTGTGCTCGTGGGACTGGGTTGTCGGGATTCGGTGTCATGGGTACTGTTGGGTCCTGTCCGTAATTCAAATAAAACGGCGACTGTTGCGTCGTGGCTGATGGTGCGTTATTGTATGCGAACTCGATAAGTGGCAGCTGCTGTTCCCACGTATTCGGGTCGTCGCACGTGGCTCGAATCAGCTGCTCCATGGTCTGATTTGTCCGTTCTGTCTGTCCGTCGGTTTCGGGGTGATAGGATGAACTGAACTGTAAGCGCGTGCCGAACTGCTGCCACAGGTTCCGCCAGAAGTTGCTGGTAAATTTCGTGTCCCTGTCGCTGATGATCGACGCGGGTATCCCGTGCAGTCGTACGACGGTGGAGATGAATAGTCGGGCGGTTTCTTCGGCTGTGATGGATTTCGTGCATGCTGCGAAATGAGCCATTTTCGTTAGTCGATCGACGACGACCAGGATCGCGTCATTTCCACTCGCCCCAGCTGGTAACCCCGTGACGAAGTCCATCGTCACCTGCTGCCAAGCACGCTCTGGAGGCGGGATGGGTTGTAATTGCCCCGCTGGTCGCTTCCTGCTTGACTTCATGAGCTGGCAAGTGGGACACGATGCCACGTGTCGTTGCACATCGGTCAACATTTCTGGCCAGTAGTAGTACCGCTGCAGCTGTTGCCGTGTTTTTTCTACCCCGAAATGTCCTGAGGTGACTCTGTCGTGTGCTTCCTGTAACAGTAGTTCCCGCAGTAGCGTGTATCCCGGTACCCAGATGCGGTCGGTTCCAGTTTTTACGTAATAGACTCCTTTTGCCGCTGCGAATTGCTGTGAGTTGCCTCCTGTAAAGAACGAGTCTGTTTGATATCCGTGGGTAAATAGGCCGGTAAGCAGTGGGCTGGTCTGGGCGAGTAGTATCGCGTGGATCTGGGCAGTGGGGCGGGTCAGTGCGTCGGCGATATTCGATGCTCCTTTTTTGTATGTGACCGTATAGTGAAAATTCGACTCGAGGAAATCGAGCCATCGAATCTGTCGTGGGTTGAGGTGGGGCTGTGCACGGAGGTACTGTAGAGATCGGTGGTCTGTCCGTACTGTCACGTCTGCGCCAGTCAAGTAGCAGCGCCAAACTTTGAATGCATGCACGATCGCGAGCATTTCGCGGTCGTGTATCGGGTAATTTCGCTCAGGCGGATGTAGTTTGCGTGATTCGTAGGCGATGGGTTGGAGGCCGTTGCCGAAGTCCTGTAACAGTACAGCTCCGATGGCGATGTCACTTGCGTCGGTAACCACTTCGAAAGGGCGGTGGGGATCAGCGATACGTAGAACGGGTGGTGAACAGAGGACGTGTTTTAGGGCAGAGAAGGCAGCATGCTCTTTCTCCCCCCACGTAAAAGCGACCCCCTTACGCAGTAAATCAGTTAGTGGGGCTGTTAAACGTGCCATGTCGGGCACGAACCGTCGAACGTAATTAACAAACCCTAAAAAACTCTGCAGTTCTGTGATGTTTGTCAGGGGGCGCCACGCCTTTACCGTATCCAGCTTCTTTGGGTCGATCTCAACCCCAGCCTCGGAAATGACGTGACCTAAAAACTCTAGCCTATCCCTAAAAAACTCGCACTTGGAGCCCTTGGTGAGCAGCCGATGTTCTTCTAAAACCTTAAAAACTGCTTCAAGATCTGCTAAGTGTTGCTGCTTATCCCGACTGTAAACGAGGATATCGTCGAGGTAAACGATCACGCATTTATCTAAAAGTGGTCTAAACGCCTCGTTCATGGTCATCTGAAAAGTCGCAGGCGCGTTCGTCAACCCGAAAGGCATTACTGTATACTCGAATGACCCGTACCTAGTCCTAAATGCTGTTTTTGCGCAGTCCGATGGTTCGACCCGAATCTGATGGTAACCTCCCCGTAAATCTATTTTCGAAAAGACACGTGCTGTTCGCAGTTGGTCAATCAGTTCGTCGGCGCGGGGGATGGGGTATCGCGATTTGACTGTTACTCGGTTAAGCGCTCGGTAGTCGATGCACATGCGAAAACCTCCGTCTTTTTTCGGTGTGAACAGTATGGGTGCGGCGAACGGTGACGAGCTTGGTCGAATAAACTGCTTCTCTAACAGGTAATCTAACTGCTTCCTTAACTCGTCGAGCTCGGGCTGTGTCAGTCGAAATTGCCGCTGTACTATTGGCTGTGCCCCCGGTTCTAGCTCGATCCTGTGGTCGTGCGCTCGCTGAGGTGGCAGTCCCTGTGGTAAATCATCCGGAAATATCCCCGGGAACCGTTTCAGTAGTGTCTGTAATTCGGTCGGTACGGCTGCTAGCAGTTTCTTTAAATCATTCTGCTGCTCGTCTTTTTCTACCACTGCGATATCCACTGCGTACACGTCGGCTCCAGCAGCGACAACCCGTTTCATCGTGATGGCGTTGACCTGGACTGTCGAAGATTCGGGTGGCCGCCAGCGAGGTAGGACGACCCAGTTACCGCTACTTCGCACTGTGCAGCTCCCCGTCGTCCAGTCAATCCGTGGGTTGTACCGTCGCAGCCAATCACGTCCCAGTAAAATGTCGTGCCCATCCAGCGTCGTTGCGAGCATTTCCTGTGTAAACCCGAAGTTTCCCCCGCAGCGGACTTTTACTCGCTCC